TGCCAAAAAGTGCCCAACGTCGCTAAAGAAGTTTTCACTTCAAAAGTCAGTAAATAATGTTAAATTAATCACTCAAATACCTATCATCATTTAAATTTGTCATTTTTCATCTTGTTCATTGAAAAAAATTGAGATTGCCTCTAGTCGGCTATGATCGATCAGCAATCGTTTCACGATCGATCATATTCAGAGATGTGGTTTATTTGAAATAATTGCAATTAAAATGCGAATAAAAAATACCTATTTTTATCTTGCATTTAAATACTTTTTTGAGAAAAGCATTTTGCATGCCTTCTAATTCTTTAACTGAAGAGAGTCCAAAAAAATCTAAACTCCTTAGAAATGGATAATCTACTAAAATATTGGATCGATATTGTTTTCCGGGTTCAATGTCATGGTCCATGGAATTTTGAAATTCCAAATTAATATCAGAACCTGCCAAATCACCACTCATTGTACTTTTAGCAAGGAACTACGAAATTCTATGGATTACGACAAAACAACCCGCAAAACAATATCGAATTGATATACGCTGGCTGTGTAAAAATGAAAACTCTAAGATATTGTCGTGTGTCAAAAATTGCATATAATCCAAAATTCTTAGAAAACGATTCGAAAAACTTCACTTATTAGATGAACCCAAAGCTAAAGAAACTATGGATTCCATTTCTTTCTCTTATTACAATGTGTAAAAGATCAAAAAAAAAATAGGGTTGTAAATATTCTGATGTAAAATGATTGATCTTCATTTTACGTCAGTAAAATTATTTGCAACCCTATTTTGGCTCTGATCTTTATCGGTAAACAAACTATTGTGGCATCAGTGTATTTTTTCCTATTAAAACGGGTGACAAAGGCAAATAAGGAAACATATAGAAGAATTATTTGTTGCTGAACTGAAGAAACTATAACATAAAGATAGAAAAACTATATCTCAATCACTTCAAACAAAAAATATGAATCATACTCAATCTTCGCAACTGCTGATGTATGCAAACACCACGATTAGTCTAGAAAAACTCCAATATTTAAAAAATGAGCAAATGCCTGCAAGGTTTTCTTAAATAATATTTAATACTTAAGTAAATGTAGAAAATTAAGTAGGTGTACTACAAAAAAGCATTTTTTATTTAAAAAAGTATTTGCATTTTGCATTTAATTACTTTTAAAAAACCATTTTGCACATCTCTACTTATTATGTATTTTCTGGTTATTGTTCTCGTTCAAAAATTTTTCAAAGCATTAGTCGTGTGGCTCACCGCTGAATTGGCAAAAAGCACTGTTTCTTTTTTTTTTTAATTCACACTATATAAAACTACAGTTAGGTATATTCTATTTCTTAAGATGTTTTGTAATTTTTGATTGCACCCAAGCAGTAAAAATCCATAATAATTACGTTTAATATTTCTTAAATTATGGATACACTTAATTCAGTTCACCCAGAAACGGAAAGGTAGTAAATTTTTGAAAAAATTTATGTTCACTTAATAGTTGATTATACATAGTAGGTGCTAAACATATTTTTTATCTTTGTTCAGTGATTATAACAAAATATATAATTACAAAAATCAGCCAATACATAAACTGCGATATCCTGAAGGTAATTTAATATTTTTGCATGATGTTGTATTAGCTGTTTAAAATAGAACTTGGTTGTAATTTTGCATGGAATTGAATACCTTATTTGTAGCCCTTTTGTTAGAGTAATTTTACACTTGCTTCAAAAGTAAAATTGATCACTAATTACACTTTCCATTTTCTAAATCCATATTTCAAGTCAGTTAGTTCCTTCATTCATTAATTTTTTATTTTTTGTGCACAGTTAGAAGTATGCAGATTGTTTTTACGACTTTAAAAAAAAAAAAAAAATCAGTGCCTAATTAAGTAGTTAATTGACAATTTTTGTAAGGAATAATAAAAAGGAAATTTAATCGTGTTGGATGTAAATTTTAGGTGTCCAAATATTTGTGAAATTGGTCACAACCACATTCGAATACAGTAAAAATGAATTTTCTTAAAAAAAAAATCCCACTCACCCTTTTTCCCATTTCGCACCGAGTATGTAATGNAATAAAACTTCAACTGTTATTTGCAACAAAATTATTAATGTAGAGGAATCAGAATATTTCGAAACTAAGAAGCCAGGTCAGAATTTAATAATTATTTTTAGTTTTATTTTGTTTTATTAATTTAAAAACAGAAAGTCACTAACTTAATTTTTTATCTCTAATTAGTTTATTCATTTCCCCTAACACTCTAACATTGACAGTGAATAGAAGAGGCCATCAGTTTTCTACCATTAGGTACTGCCCATTTATTGTCCGACGCATGGAATGTTTTTTTTTAGTTTGTTCTGCCAAATAAATAATCGTCCAAATTTGCCATACATTTTCACGCCTTTGCCTTGACGACGTATATGAGCAGTCACATTTGTAAATATTCCACCCTCCCTATCTAATTTCAATAGATTTTATTTGTTCTTCAAACAGACCAATTTCTTTGTGCAAATATAGCTGAAGTGTTAAGTGTTAGGTATTTCATTAATCGTAAGTTTTTTCCTTCTTAATTTTAAAGTTCACTAATAAAAAAAAACTGTACAAAATTTTGCAACTATCAACTAAATTTAGTTAAGCATAACTTTTTGTTTTTTAGTCGTTTTTTGCCCGTGCAAAGGTTGTCATAAATATTTTACCTTCATCCTTTGTTACCTTACCTAACCAATGTCAACTTTATATCTATATCTCACATCACCTTCTAAAGTTTTGAAAAACGAGTTTGATAAGCAAAGTAATGTTTTTCGAATTAAAATGAATCAGCTTTTATAGAATTTATCAACACAAATGGAACACAAACAAATCAATTTTAAATAGTGATGTGTAGCTACTAGTACATTCAATTCAAATTTTACTACTATTCATTTTCTCTTTCTAATAAAATCTTTTCTCAAATTATCTTTATTGTTAATCTCGTTCCCAAGTTATATGAAGAACGTGCGGTAATGTTTAGAAAGAAAAAGAATGTTCACTGATTTAATAGATTTATTTAGACAAAAGGGAAAAAAAGTGGTAGTAAGTACACAAATATACGCGAACGAATAGGAGACGAGTGCGAACCACGGCTGACCCTTAGAGTGCAGTAGGCGTTGGTCCCTACTAATTTTCCAAGGTATACTAGACCCCGAAGGATGCTCGGTCTAAAGGAGCTGTTAGAATAGGGGCCAACAATTATCGCTTCATGGGGTAACATCTTCTTAAATAGTCCCTACGTAGATAAGGGGTACTTGAGAATGGTGGTGCGAGCTCTATACTCCCACTCCGTTGAAGGGAGTGTTAGTCGGTGATATCGGAAATCGACGGTGGCTCAATAGACGAGGGTAGTCGGACAATCCGACGAGTTTGGAGAGAAATTGAGAACGTAGGGGTGGTGTTACAGTTTTTAATTTATTAATGATTGATAACTAATATAAAATTGAATGTATTTTCAGTAATTTTCAATTGCATATCATTAACTGTAGATTCAAAGAAAAACCAATACTTCGAAAAAAAAAAATCCATATTTTCAAATTATTCGAAAAGACGATTTGAAATTCGAATATAATATTTTTGCCACTTGTTGTATTACGTTTATTCGAATAAGAAGCTAAAAGGTTAATAATTTTCCGTTATTTTGACGGGACAATTTTGGAATTCCTTATACATCATTATTACAAGCCGTGTAGTATGGGGGACACCCGGTAGGAACGAAGTTTCTTGAGCTATTCGACAAATATTAATGAATAAAAATTACAGTTAGAGGGAGAGAGATGAGTACCTACTAACACCTTTGATATTTGTCCAACATTGCCAAGCCTAGAGAAATTTTCATAGAAGCCTTTCCTGGAATATATAAGGAAATTTTCATAAAAAAAACTAACGAATGAAAAGAAATTCATCTGACAGCGCCGGTTTTTGCTGATTGAACCCTTGCAGCCGTAGCGCACGATAAGAAACTTCGTTCCGAAAACCGATAAGAAAGAGACGGAGAATCATTTGAAAAAAATGATGTGTTTGTGTTCAAATTTTTAAGCCGTTGTCTAAAAATTACTGCTCGTAGATTCTTAGCATTCCTTGAAAATTGATCACCGAATCATTCATTAAGATAAAGCCTAAATTAATAATTTAAGACTGAAAAAGAAATCTAATCTTTTCGCCAAAGTGGCATTGGTTCCCTCCCATAATATACCCTCAGTATATCCACTTAATTCACCCTCCCTTGATTTGTTGAACCCAATTCCTCTACCCATTGTGACTCTTTGCACGTATACACTTGTGATTTTGAGGTTGCAGCATTTAAACAATTGTATCATTTGTTATAAATGTCTTCTGCCCCGCCCCGGCTTGGTCCACCTGCCCACCCGTCCGCCATTGTTATCTACTGCTCTGCCCATTGATATTGTTGCCACGGCCCAACACATCGCCCACCACAGTACAAAGCCTCGATTACTGTCCCTGACTGTCCGGGCCCTGAACGGTAAAAAATATCTCTATTTTTTGTGCTCACTCCGACCCTGGTTGCACTGTCTACCTACACTGACGTAACACTAAACGTGTAATCGTCCATAAATCAGAGCATCGGAGGAATATTGTACGATGAAATAGAATTAAATTGAAATTATATTTAGAAAAATAAAATTACAATGATTGGTTTTCGCACAATTAATAAATATTCGAGTGCATTTGCGTTTTTTCGGTTTTTATGGTTTGAAGGTAAATTTTTGTTGTTAATCATTTCAAATCCTCATTTATTACAGTGGTTGACTTCTAATTCGACAATTACAAAAAAGTCAGTGTCGATTTCCGGTGTAACTAGAATTAAATTGAAAATCATCTAAAGTAATGGCTGAATTGGTTTTAGGGATGTTTGGGAGGTATGTCAAAAAGCTACGAGACAAATGAAAATTTCGAGGAACGTTCCTCATTTAATTCTAAAACTCTTGTAAAAATTACAAATCGCTTCACTAAAGCGTTAAAAAGTTTGAAATTTTAAGAAATTGTTATTTTACACGTCATTTTATGGAGAATCGTTAATCCAACAGATTAAATTTATTTTTATTAACAGAAAAAAAGTTAGCAGATTATTTTTA